GCAGGAAGACCACTTGAACCTGGGAAGCAGAGACTGCAATAAGCTGAGATCACACCTCTGAACTCCAGCCCAGGTGACAGAACGAGACTGTCTCTCAAACATATACATACATACAAACACACATAAAAAGTAAAAAATGACAAACCAATTTGATTGCCACTTTGGCAACATCATCTGTGTATTCTTAACAAATTCAAGAGTTACAATTTGTTATTTATTTTATTTATTTATTTATTTATTTTTGAGACGGAGTCTCGCTGTTATCCATGCTGGAGTGCAGTGGCGCGATCTCAGCTTATTGCAGTAGCTGGGACTACAGGCACCCGCCACCACACCTGGCTAATTTTTTGTATTTTTAGTGGAGACGGGGTTTCACCGTGTTAGCCAGGATGGTCTTGATCTCCTGACCTCGTCATCCACCCATCTCGGCCTGGTAATCCTAGCTACTCAGGAGGCTGAGGCAGCAGAATCGCCTGAACCCGGGAGGCAGAGACTGCAGTGAGCCAAGATCGCGCCACTGCACTCCAGCCTGGGCAACAAGAGCAAGACTTGGTATCAAAAAAAAAAAAAAAAAAAAAAATTTCCCCAGGGTGAGAAAACTCACTGCAATCAAGACCATCAAAAATTAAAATAAGCGCTTTAGTGTCACTGAACTGCATCTATAGTTTATTTTTACCCAATCTTGATCTGAAACAGACTTCAGGAGACTATTAGTCAAAACACAGGTTAGCATACATTCAACCAGAAATAAAAACATGAAAACAGGGAAACAAAATGAAGCTATTAAAAAGGTACAACAAAAAGATCCACAAGTTTAGCTCTAAACTTCCAGATGTCAATAGGAAAACAGAAACCTAGTGAACAATTACAGCACCCAGGTAATAAAAACAGACTAAAAGCTTAGACAAACATACAATTATTCTTGGCTGCACAACTTTCTCCCTGAGGTCCTTATACAGAAGGCATTACAGAATACAGAGAATATCCTCAACAATATTTCAGTAATCACAATGAAATGGTTTATGAGGTTATTTTTATACTGAACTTCAAGATAAGCCTAGAGTAACACTTGGGAGAAAAAAAGAAAAAAAAAAAACAACAACTCTGGGGAGAGAGAAAAAAGAGGGGAAAAAAAAAAAGAAAAAACACACACACCTTAGGAGAGAGAGACCTACATAATGTGGTCCAGGTACCCAGAACACTGCTGATTTAAGAGCACAATAAAGAGAATTTCTAGAAAAAAAAATACTATTTTAACAACAAGTACTTACTATATAGAAGTTTATAAGCACAGGGCCCAGAAAACGAAAACCAAATTTAGCAAAATATGGAATGGGTCCAGAAATTAAACAAAATTGCAGGGGAAAAAAAAGAGACAACTCTAAGAGGGAAAAACAAAGAATATAAAAAAGAAAGAACAGCAAGCACAACTCAGCAAATACATTACATACATATGATAATTAAATACTTTTATTTCTACATCTACAATTAAGAATTAAACATTAAGATATTTATGGAAGCATGCAGCTTCCTTAATTCCATATTCAAGGAGATAAAGTTTAAATTCCTGTACCTTCCACAGTGATGACTTATATCATTGTTTAGTGACATCATATCAAACCCAAGATACTGCAGAATTTTCAAAGAAGCAGTTATATGTCCACTGTACCAAGGAAGGAAGGTATGTGAAATATTTCATGAAGATTTTCCAAAAACAGTTTAAAACAAAAAGAGCAAGAGTTTTAAACCAAACATAAAATCAGTCAACCATAAAAATTAATAAAAAAGAAACCCTCTCTAAAGTCTCATTTAGCAATATAGTTTACTGTCAAGTAATACAATGATGAACATACAATCTGCTAAACATTCAACAACATAGAAAAATTAATCATTCTACAGCTAGCATGTACCAACGACATAGAATGGATCACTGTTTCTCCTCTGGGAAGTGGGAAAGAAAAAACAATTGAATTCTTAGTGAAGAAAGGGATTGTAATTTCCACAGAACTATCCACTTGCAATTTAAGCAACATAATTTAAAAACAGCTCATTCCAACAGTCTCCTCTATTAAATATTTTCATTAGGGCTGCCTAGATGAAACCTAGCCCACCATATTATATCTTGGGCAAAAGAGTAAAATACAGACCGGCTGCTGAAAGGGAGCGCGGGGAGCTGAAATTCATCAGCTGGGTCAAGTTCCTGAAGAATTAACTAACTACATTCTAGGATTCATTTCTCAGCATCAAAGAACAACTTTTTCTTCTTCTTTTTAAATTAAAGCAATGCCTCCATTCTCATTGTCTGGCCAACTGCTGAAAACTTTTAAAATACTCAGAAGATCAACAAACACTTGGCTAAACAAATACCAGCCTTAAAAGTCAACCCGGTGATCCTGCTCAACAAGAACTTTAAAGTATTTATGCTTTACTGGTGGTTTTGGTTTCCACAAAAAAAATTTTTTTTTTTTTTTTTTTTTTTTTTTGAGATGGAGTTTCGCTCTTGTTGCCCAGGCTGGAGTGCAATGGCACAATCTCAGCTCACCACAACCTCCGCCTCTGAGGTTCAAGCGATTCTCCTGCCTCAGCCTCCCGAGTAGCTGGGATTACAGGCGTGTGCCACCAGGCCCAGCTAATTTTGTATTTTTAGTAGACGGGGTTTCTTCATGTTGGTCAAGCTGGTCTCGAACTCCCGACCTCAAGTGATCCACCCACCTCAGCCTCCCAAACTGCGGGATTACAGGCATGAGCCACCATGTCAGGCCCTAAATACAATTACAATATGCGAAAAGAGCATTTACTTCGGAGTACTTTCAGTACCCAAATTTTCTTTAATATGATCTAATGCATGAAAATTCTACTTTTTAAAGTATCATTCAGTTGATTTAATTGCAAGAGGATTCAACTGATCCCAAAATGTTTCCTAAAAGCCATCCTTTGGCTGTTCTTATACACTTCACACCCTTCCAAACCATAAACCATTATGTGAGAAGAATGTGTAGAACTAAGTAGTAAATGAATAGACTTAAGGTTTTTTCAAGTCACTAAATTATCCTATAGAATAAGAACAATTCTCTCAGCTATTTTTATTTCATTGGTTTGTAACACTTACCTACAACAGTACCAAAACTCAGAAATGTTTTCAATGCAATGTATCCTGAGAACAATAAGCTTAATCTAGATGTTTTTCTGTTAAAGACTCAAAATAAGTACATGCAATTTAAAATCCTTTAACTACAGTGTTTATTATACTTCTCAGCACAAAATATTTAACATTAACCAAGATATTTTTAAAGCAGTGATTTAAACAGCAAAGTTAGGGGGGATAATGCCATGAATATTAGCAAGCTGAATTAAGCTACTAATCCATTCAAAGAAAGGTGGGTTACAGAAGAAGCAAGCCTCTGAAACATATTTGCTTTAAATCTAAACACAGAAGTGAACTTGAGCACAGTGAACTAACAAATGATAATGGAACTAGGTCTACAAGGAAGAAATTCAGCAAAAATTATCCATTTCTTCCCTCAAAATAGAAAAAAAAAAAAGTTTCATTTCAGATACAATATGTTATCCATGCAGATAATATAAACAAAATTGGGGAACCAGAAAATTTACTTTAAAAAATCACGGCTGTCTCAACAACCAAACACTCCAGTGAAAATCGTAGTCATCTTTTAATACAGTCAAGGAAACACCAATTCTTCCCACATATTCATCCTTTTCAGCCTTTTCTAGTAAGTCAGCCTCTAGCAAAGAGGAAATGAAAGAGGATCTACTAGTCAACTATCCTGCCCCTCTTTTCCAACTCCTCATGCTACCTCTCAAGTCTAAGATTCCTAAGTAGATAAATGCACTTATTTAACATTTAAGTATGTTATAATATAGTACTGCTTTATCTAAGTACATAGATGCTGAATCGGGAGTGACAAGAGTGAAACGTCTCTGTCTCCACCATGCCAATTTGGAGCGCCACCCTTTAAGCTTATGTAAAATTTTCTCAAATCAACAGATTTAGAAAAACCAGTAAGACGAGGTGGGCAGATCATGAGGTCAGGAGTTCGAAGCCAGCCTAGTCGACAAGTGAAACTCTGTCTCTACTTTAAAAAAAAAAAAAAAAAAAAAAGAAAGAAAGAAAGAAAGAAAGAAAAGAAAAAGATTAGCCTGACGTGATGGCGGGTGCCTGTTATTTCAGCTACTCAGGACACTGAGGCCCAAGAATCACCTGAACCCGGGAGCCAGAGGCTTCAGTGAGCTGAGATCACACTACTGCACTCCAGCCTGGGTGACAGAGCGGAACTCAGTCTCCCCAAAAAAAAAAAAAAAAAAAAAAAAAAAGTAAGAATTTATTCCACATACATTAATACATTTAACTCAGCTTAACAAATCTAATTAAAATTGGCTTTTTTTTTTTAAATAGGAAGACAGGTTGTGAAAGTGGACTGTGCTTGGAGGCAATGTATTAAATATTCTGAAGCATTTTCTAATTGTCAGTCCTTAAAATGTAAGAAAACCTCAAGTGTTAAAATTGAAGACTGGATATGCTCTCTGCTCAAAGTTCAATCAAAATCAACTGTAATTTCCTACAAAGGTAACTAGGTCAACTCAACATTTGTCCCTGCTTACTGGAAACAACAAAATCTGAACAATCAGGCCATTAACTTGTCATGTCCTATATATAGTTTCAAAAGAAATCTAATTATTCACTCTTAAAGAGGTACTAGTACAATTTTACACATAAGATGTCTCCTAGTTTTTTTTCTTAATAAGACTTCAAAAGGAAATTACCACCATTTAGACTACAACACCACAACACTACAGCAAAAATATCTTCCATTTCTTCACTAACATGTATATGCACTCACCTACCTAACACCAGGGAAAAAAACAAATGGAACCTAGACACCTATGTACAAAGAATCATATTCTCTCCATGGTAGGGATTCATTCATTCTTCCCTGCGCCAACATTTCTCAAGAATGCTATCATGCATGAGGTCTACTCACAGGGGTACATGGCGCTGCTCGGGATCAGCTCTGGTCAGTTCTTCCTCTTCAATATCAGACTCCCCTCCTGAACTACTGTCAGTGACATCTGAATCAAATGCTTGTTCACTGCACCTCAAGTTGGCTATGCCACTAGCTGTAAATCTCTCCAGCTCTTCTGAAATTGAATCGCTTTTCAGAAAGTTGCTAAGTCCCTCTGAAGTGGTGGTCTCACTGGCAGCTTTTCTCAAGGCAGCTTCAGCCTTTCGAGTCAGCATCAACTGGCTCCGTGGTCTCAAGGATTCCAAGTTTGGCAGTTTGCTCAAAGTCTTCTCCAAAAATCCACCCAGCTGATGTTGTATATGCCTCTCAACCTGCTTGGCTTGCACAACCTGTAAGCGCTTTTGTAATCTGCGGGCACGGCTCTCAATGTCAGCCTGTCGCCGCAGTAAAGCTGTTATCCTTGTGTCAGAATCTAAAGCACTGAAAAGAATGGAAGACAGGGGAGACTTTTTACCCTCTAATTTGACACCCCCCAAGTTAGAGCTGGAGTCTGTACCAGGTGATAACCTACTGCTTCCTTGAAGTGCCGGCTGTTCCATGGAATTGACAGAAGATTTGTTTGCAGTGCTATTATTGCTATATAAAGTTGTGTGTTCTACATCAAGGCTTCTATGTGGAAGAGTGCAATTGGTCATACCCCCCTTCAAGTCCCCAGATTCAGATCCTCCCACTTCACCCCCATGAAGAGCAGATGAAGTGAGAGCCCGTTTTCCCCCATTGAGGGAAGTGGAATTGTCATGATCAGAATGTGTTGAACTTTTAGTCAATTTCTTAGCCAACCCATTTACAGGTGCTTGTGGCAGAGCTGTTTGACCACTCGTATTCATGGTTCTAAGATTTTCTAAGGAAAACTCCAAAACTGGCTGTCTCCCCAACAGCTCAGCTCGGAGTTCATAGGACTGAGATAAGAGAGGATGAGATTTAAGGACTGTCTGCTTGCTGAAGACCCCTTGCAACTTCAAAGACTCCTTTGAGGGAACAGATGTTACATCAGAGCAGAGATAAGATGCCACCAGTGGTTGCAGCTTTCCCAAGTCTTCCTTGGTAGAATTATTTCGGAAATCTAGGCTGGGATCCTCTGCAGCAATGGCTTTTCTTTTGGTTCCGTTGGCAGCAATAAGGATGTTGGCGTTGCCGTTATTTTCGGCACTGCCAGGGGACAAGGTAGAGGACGGGGGAGCCAGTTTGAACCGGATATGGTGTGCTTCAGCTGCTGCGTCAGTGAGAGCGGGCGCCATCGCAGCCATTCAGCACAGAGAGACAGGAAGTCCAGCCTCTCCCGATGCCGAGGCCGAGGCCAGCTCCACGGCCCCTTACTGCCTCCCCAGAGAACAGACTAGAAGAGAAAGGAGAAAAGAATGTTAGAAATACAAGCACATTTAAAAACACATATATTTTTAACAAAAGCACTACTTGAGTGCTGTTGTCTAAACTGCCTCCAGAAAGAAAGCACTCTGGAGCTAATTGTACCAGTTATTCGAGAGACCCAAATATCTTTCAACTGAAAGAAAGGGGGAGGCAAAATCCCTGCACAAGAGAAAGAATTGCACCCTTCTTCTTGTCATTTGTTACTACAGACTGAAAGTTGCCAAAACACAAGTTCGATTCGGAGAAAATCACAGATTGTTAAAATTAAATCATCTGCATTAAAAAAAAAATTTTTTGTTGAAATAAATGGATTTAAAGCAAGACACATCAAACTAAACAATAATTAAACAGAAAAAATTAGTATGGAATTCCCGTGTTCACAAAAAAAAGTATGCCAAATATCACAGGTCTGTGCATTTCTCTGGCCAGGGAATCCAGTTTTCATCAGCTTCTCACTTCACTAGAAGTACAGATTATACTACAGAGCTAACTGTACCTCATCTGTAATACCAACTTGTTTCATCAGTTTTCTTTTCTTTCAGATCAAAGTGCTCATCAGTATCTTCTCTACTAGCTTCTTCCTTTCAGCCTAGGAATTTACTTAAGTATCTTCTGTCCTCAGTACAGCCTCTCTCTCATATTTAATTGCCCAACATCTCTCCCTTTACCCCAAAACTTTTAAAGAATAGTATAAATAACTGTCTCTGCACTCTTCACTCTTCCATAATCTGGATTTCATCCCCTACTGCTCTGGCAAAGGTTACCAGTAATCTTATTACCAAATCCAATGGTCAAGGCTCAGTCCCCATTCTATCTGACTTCTCTGAAGCACTGGACAATACCGATATCCTTCTAATTCTTTCCTGATGTCCTTGTACTATCATCCTCTTCTCTTCCTCCTGGACCCGTAAATGTTGGTGCTGCACAAGGTCTCTTCTGCCCTCTTCTCTCTCAAAAACCACTAGTATGGTGAGGTTACCTAACCCTAAGAAAAAACTTCTGAGCTGCACTAATATTAAGATTCCCATACCTCTATGTTCCTCAAGCCACCTGAAGCTCGGAATTCACTTCCTCCTTCCAGCACACTATTCCGCATCCTGTTTCATTATCTTAGGTAATGGCACTGCTTTTATTTAGTAACCAAGCTAAAAACCCCAGTCATTTGCCTCTGTTTGATCCCCCCCCTTGATCTATGTGGTCTGGGAGTCAAAGGAAACATACGTAAACAACTAAGCCAGTTTTCTTTAAAGTGTAGTCTCTGGACTTCTGGGGATCTCACAGACTATTTTGGAGGTTCGTGAAATCAAAGGTATTTTCATAGCAATACTAGAATATTATCTGCCTTTTTCACTGTGTTGATATTTGCAATCAGAATACAAAAACAAAGGTGAACAAAACTGCTGGCACATTATTAGCACAAATCAAGGCAGAGGCACCAAACTATACCAATAGTCATTACACTCTCCACTCAGTTTTTTTTTTTTTAAGGGAGTTCCACTTAAGATGTCCTTGATGAAGCAGCAAAAATTATTAATTATCTTGAGCCTTTAGTGCATTTTTAAAAAGTATTTTTTGTGATGAAAGGGAAAGTATGCATAAAGCACTCTGCTGCTTTATGAATTCTCAGGAAAAAGTACAGTACAACTGAGTTGCAAAATGAACTAGAGCTTTGCTCATGGAACACTATTTTTACTTGGCAGAACTACTGACAAACTGATTATCTGAAACCTGCTTCACCAGCAGACATTTTCTTGCAAATGAACAAAGTGAACTTGTCACTTCAAGGAAAATCAATGATGATATATTTGCTGCCAATAATAAAATCTGATTTTTTAAAGCAAAGATTAGTGTTTTTGAAAACTGTATCAACAATCATGAACTTAAACATTTTCCCAAGATTTTATTTGGGGTGTGTGTGTGTGTGACGCAGTCTCGCTCTGCCGCCACGCTGGAGTGCAGTGGTGCAATCTCAGCTCACTGCAACCTCTGCCTCCTGGGTTCAAATGATTCTCCTGCCTCAGCCTCCCGAGTAGCTGGGACTACAGGTGTGCGCCACCACACCCGGCTATTTTTTGTATTTTCAGCAGAGACGGGGTTTCACCATTTTGGCCAGGATGGTCGTAATCTGTTGACCTCGTGATCCGCCCACCTCGGCCTTCCAAAGTGCTGGGATTATAGGTGTGAGCTGCTGCACTTGGACTTTCCCAATATTTTAAAAGCCATTTCTGATTTGACAGACTTGTGACGATATTAATGAATGTGAATTTTTGATTCCACATAATGTAATGTGTAACATTTGGAAGATCTGCGTGACCCAGTGAACAATAAAATGTCCAGTGAATGTTTAAGTGCAAGACAGATCATTTATTTGTTGCTGTTATTTTCAAACAGGGTCTAGCTCTGTCACCCAGACTAGAGTGCAGGGGCACAATCATGACTCACTGAAACCTCAACCTCCTGGGCTCAAGTGATCCTCCTGCTTCAGCCTCCCAGTAGCTGGGACTATAGGTGCTTGCCACCATGCCCAGCTAATGTTTTGAATTTTTGTAGAGATGGAGTCTCACTCTGTTGCCCAGGCTGGTATCAAACTCCCAGCTTCAGCCTCCCAAACTCCTGGGATTATAGGCATGAGCCGCCATGCCCAGCCTGAATTACTTATTAAGTATTTTTTAAAATTTCTCCAAGTTGCTAAGAAAAACAAGTTACATGCTGTTCTCAACAAATTTTAAGAGTGAAAAAAGGGTCCTGAGACCAAAATGCTTGTTAAATCACTGGACTAAGCACCCCCATTCCCTACCCCAAATGAGGGCAATCTCCAATTTAGTCAAAAAAGTTTATCTTTGGAGCAATACCAACATGGGATGGTAGGCCCTACAGCACTATAGTAAGCTCCTTTATAGTACGACAATTCGAATCATTAACATAAAAATACTCAAATAAATGAGAAAACATTATTCATAAAAGCACCAATACACGTATGGGTCAAATCTGTCTATTGCTGTGTTTTTTTGTTTTTTTGAGATGTAGTCTCGCTCTGTTGCCCAGGCTGGAGTGCAGCGGCGCAATCTCAGATCACTGCAGCCTCTGCCTCCTGGGTTCGAGTGATTCTCCTGCTTCAGCCTCCCGAGTAGCTGGGACTTCAGGCACTTCGGGCATGTGTCACCATGCCCGGATAATTTTTGTATTTTTAGTGGAGATGGAGTTTCACCATGTTGGTCAGGCGGGTCTCGAACTCCTGACCTCAGGTGATCCACTTGCCTCAGCATCCCAAAATGCTAGGATTACAGGTGTGAGCCACTGTGCCTGGCCTCATATAATTACTAATACCATAAGTTTCTTGTCCCAGGGTTGTATTTTAACCAACATTCTATAAAAGAACTAGATTTTCAGGGCTTATGGAGTTTTCTCCTGTGTGCTTTCTGGCATATGGCATTCTGTGTGGCACAAATTATTCTATGTTGTCTTTTCTCATTTCTAATTTTAAATATAATACTAATTCCTAATATATTATTAAACACTGTGTTATAGACCAGTCAAGCTAGACCAAGATAGTTGTTCAAAATATTCTGAGTCAGTTTTATAATATGCAAAGGGTTTTTCCCATAGACAAACAAAAATCACTATCAGATATTTGCTTTCAATCTCCTCCTCTTTTGAATGTCAATATATAGCTGATATGAGCAATGCAAGGAGGCATATTATTGGTGCCAGATGATTAATACAACATTTGAAGAGTAGTTGTACCCTACTGCCTGAGAGCAATACAGTAAGACTTAGCAAGCGCAGGAAACAGCTTCCCTCTGAGGACCCAGGCAAGGGCTCAGATATGCTTTATGACTTATATAAAACTTAGGAAAACCCAGTCTTACTCCAGCACAAATGAAAAAGAAGGTCATAATTAACATCACACCACAGACGGTGCTTAAGTAGTAAACTTATCAAAGTTATTCTGAAATTATTCAATTCTTTAAAGCTTACAACTTTAAGAAAAATGCCGGCTTAAATCCCATCTAATCTGGCTGGGCGCAGTGGCTCACACCTGTAACCCCAGCATTTTGGGAGGCCAAGGCAGGCAGATCACCTGAGGTCAGGAGTTCAAGACCAGCCTGGTCAACATGGTGAAACCCTGTCTCTACTAAAAACACAAAAATTAGCTGAGTGTGGTGGCCAGCACCTGTAATCCCAGCTTCTCAGGAAGCTGAGACATGAGAATCGCTTGAACCCAAGCGGCAGAGGTTGCAATGAGTCAAGACTGCACCACTGCACTCCAGCCAGGGCAACAAGAGCAAGACTCCATCTTAAATAAATAAATAAATATAAATCCCATCTACTCCAAGACTTCTCTGAAATGATGTCTATGAACTTGACATTAACATATACACTTCAAAGGCAATAGTTTGATCTGCACCTTCTACTTGGTTTCAATATCACCATAGGATACACAGCATAGTATAGTTACTAAAACAATCATCTAAATAAGGGGGTGGGGGAGGGAAGAGAGTGCAGAGCAGAGGAAAAAGTTACTACTTTTTCAGAAGAAATTCCCATTCCTAACTCCTAAATCTTGGGATTTCTATACCAAAGAAATACCATTGTGAAAGGAAAAAAAAAAAAAAAAAAAAGAAGACAACTCCAGATCCCTCTCCCTTTATTGACTTGAAATACTAGCTGAGATTCAACATTACCCCCAAAGATATTTATAAGAGGAGCACCAGCTCAAGTGAGTGATATCTCAGTTCCCACCCTGGCTCCACCTCCTGTAGGTTACTTAACTATTTTGTTCTTTAAGTTTCCTCATCTACAAGTAACACAGCCTTTCCCACAAGGATGCCATCATGATGAAATAAAATACTTTCAATTACTTGGCCATGTACCGGGTGCAACCACCCAGTATTATTTGCACCGTTATTACACTGGAAACAAAAAGCTAACATAGAAGGAATAAATTTCCATGGCTTTTTAATGCAC